TTTCCCTCCGGCAACTCTCAAAGGTTATTACAGAATGTGCAGGCACACGTGCACGGGGAAGTCCCACTGAGAATAGTGGATCTTACTCTCTCAGGTGAGAATGTCCAAGACGGAATGTACGGCTGTCTGCTCTCTAGGATGAGGCTTTGCTTGAACAGTGTATCATGTACCCAAGGCCACGTTCCCGGACGATGATGCAAACAGAGGCAGAGGGGGGGACCCCCCTCAAAGGGGGGGGGGGGGAAGGACCGCTATTTCACTGTCGGATTCACGTGGTCCGGTTATATAACCACCAAGTCTAGACATCAAAAGGCCGCCCTCGTAGGGCAGCAGAGACTGCCTCTGGTTGCTCAAGTGAGCCCCAGCCTACCGGAGGGAGCAGCACAGCGCAACCACCATGCCTTAGCCAGGCGCGAGAACACGAGCCACGGCTTGCGGAGAGGAGGAAAAAAAAAGAGGCTTGCGCACGGAAATGCACATGCACACTACTCTCCCCCTTTCAAACAGGCCAGGACATTTTATGAGGCGCGCGCCGCTTCCTTTCCTCGCTTTCCCCTTCCCGTGAAGCTTTTCGAAGCCGGCCGAAGGGAGCCTCGGGGGGGGGGGCAGCGGTGGAGAGTCGAAGGGAAGGAAACAACCTCCACGAAAGCCCCGTGCTCATCCGGGTATTCCGCGCTCGTCTGGGCCGGGCGTGGCTAACAACGCACCTAAGCCCCGCCCATTGGCCTCGTTCGGTTAGGTAACACAGCAGCCTTGGAAGGCGAGCTTTCCGTCGGAAGGGGGCTCGTTTTCCTTCTGCGTCACTAAGGCGCGGCGTGGGCTTTTCCCCATTGGTAAGCGCTGCGCCTCGAGCAGAGCCCGCTCACCGCCGGGTAGTAAACACATTTCAGAAACGTGAGGCGCCGGCTGTCACGTGGGGCCCGGGCGGCCAATGGGGAGGGAGGGGCGGGACTTGGCGCCTTTCGAAGCCCCAGAGCTCGGCGTCGAGTCACAAGGCAGACGGCGAGGAGAGAGGCTGGGAGCCGAGGGAGAACAGTGAGCCCTGCGCCGCCCGAACTCAGTTTCTTCCCACCACCGTTTCTCTTTTTTTTTGTGTAACTCAGACTTACCGTGAGGTTTTCCTTTTTCTTTTTTCCGCCCCTTGCTCCTCTCTGCCTCCCTTCGAGGGCTAGTTGGGCGCGCGCGGCTGAGGCGGTTAAAGGGGGTGGGAAAGGCGAAAGAAGAGGTGATGCGTGTCCCGCTGACGGCCAACCCCACCCCCTCCGCGGCTGCCTCCACCGGCGCGGCCGCCGCCTCCGTCGGCTCTTAGAGCCGCCTCCGCTCCTCTCAGAGGCGACAACTCTTCTTTTTTTCTTTTTGCCCCCTTCACCTCTGAGCAGGACCCCCCGCCCGCCCGCCTGCCTGCCTGCCTCTCCGTAACCATCCCCGGCTCGGTATGAGCCGCGAACCCGACTTGGCTTATCCTTGAGCCGTCGAGACATCGCCGCCGAGGGCCCACACTTTTCTCCCCGGCCGATCCTCCCTCCGCCCGCCCGGCTTCTTCTCGCTTAGAGACTGGGTTTTTTAAGGGGGGGGGGGGAGCGTGACTGAGTGCCCTGCAAGACCGGCTGTCCAAGATGGGGGTTAACGCCGTGCACTGGTTCCGCAAGGGGCTGCGGCTCCACGACAACCCGGCTCTGAGGGAGTGCATCCAGGGCGCCGACACCGTCCGCTGCGTGTATATTCTGGACCCCTGGTTCGCCGGATCCTCCAACGTGGGAATCAACCGATGGAGGTGAGTATTTGGGGGGGGGGCTGAGGGGGCGACTTGTTTTATGGGGCCGGTCGTTTCCGGTTCTGTAGAACCCCATCTTATGCAAACAGTTCCTTAAGGGATGCGCGCATGCGTCGTTACGTGTGATTATACAACGCCGGTTCTGGCGGCACTCAAAAGTCCTGACATATTCTGCTCTCAGGGTGATAGAAAGGTACAGCTTGGTCATCTCTCCTATCCTGCCTTGTGGGGTGGGAGTGGTGACTCTTCTCTCTCTCTCTCTCTCTCTCTCTCTCTCTCTCTCTCTCTCTCAGAATTCTCAATCTGTAATTCTGTAAATTTTATGTGGAATACTGTAGAGTGACTTCTAACTAAGCATGCAGTGGTACAGAGCTGTACTTGTCTCCTGTATTGCTTGCAAGGGGAGAGAGTCAGGTGGGTAGCTGTGCTGGTCTGAAGCAACAGCACAAAGTTTTGAGTCCAGTGTCACCCTTATGACCAACAAGGTTTAATTCTGGGTATAACCTTTCTGAAGAAGTGTGCATGCATACGAAAGCTTATACTCAGAGTTAAACTTTGTTGGGCATAAAAGCATCACTGGACTCAAGGGGAGAGAATGAAAGTTTGAAAGCACTGTATTAAGAGTACTAGTTCATGTTGGTGCTGATGCAGGATCGTTTATAACACAGAACACTGCATGCTCCTATATTTAATATAAGATTATCCCTTTACCCAATATATCCTGTCTGTTGAGACAAGTGTGACATGCACTGTCTTCTGAAGATTACTGTGGTTATAGTTACTATTTATGAATAGAAATCTTTGTGCATATAACTTACATGTTATTGCCCTTGATGGATAACAGGCACTTAGTCATGACCAAGTTATATACATGGTCATGCAGCTGACTCACCTCCTCTTGGCTTGCTATAACTTGTTGTTAATTGGGCCTTTTCCAGCTTTTTCCTGACGTTGGCAGTACAGAGGCTATTACGTATGCAATTCTTATTGATGCTGTGTGAAATAAAGACATCCTGTGACTTGGTACCCGTATTGAGCTAATTTTTCCAGCAACAGAACTTGTGAGAGGGAGAGACTTCTTTGGAGTGCCAAAATTGCTATGAATAAAGCCTTAGAGGAGTGTTAGGTCACTGTATTTCCCAAAATAATGTGGGTTACCTTTCCTGATTTATTGGTGGCTTGGTTTACTTTAGCGAATGCAAGAGGATGGCTTTTGTCACCTGAATGTCTTGAAAGCAAACCTGCAGTCAATAACAAAGGCTACATCAATGAAATGGATCACTTATCAAATGTGAAAGGAATGGCCAGTCTTTACAATGATAGGGTGTTGGGTGTATTGCAGCTGATACCTGCCAGCCTGGTGCAGCTTCAGTGGTAGAAGTTGTCAGTTGTTGGTGCATTTAACCAGTTTGATGCCATTCAAGAAAGGCTAGATATCCTGTAGATGTGGTCTGTTTACAGTTTATTAGAGACATAGCAATGTGATCGGTTTTTCCCTTCCTTCATAGAACTCAGGGTGGTGTACATGGTTCATCCTACCCCCTGTCCCCTGTCTCATTCTCACAGGTTAATATGAGATTGTGTAACTGGTCCAGGTAACTCAGCTTCATAGTAGTATCATAATTTACACCCAGGTCTTTCTGGTCCTAATGGTGACACACTAATGATTTTTTTAAAAATTGTTATTTTATTTATACCTCACCTTTCTCCCCAGTGGGACCCAAAGTAGTTTACATCCCTCACTTCTCCATTTTATCCTCGTGGTAACCCTATGGGATATAGGCTAGGCTGAGAGTGTGCAGCTGCTCGGTCAGCCAGCAAGATTCTGAGGATTTGAACCTGGTTCTCCTAGATCCTAGGCCATCACTCTAACCACTGCATCACCCTGGTTCTTTTCCCTTTACCTGCTACTACCAGAACAGTTTTTCTAAAGCTGGTAGGGGAGAGCCATAAAGAGAGAGAAACACATACAGCCAGTAGCAATTTCCATGGTTATAGCTGAAGTTTGCTACCATATCCTTGCTTACTGGTTCATATCGTGATTGTTTGCATGAATGCATAGATAAAATGTATTGTTTGATGTGTCACATTACCAATGAGGCTAAGTGTATATTCTTAGGGACTAACAGAAGATGGATATAATGGCTTTCCCAGTAGAATAGCAGGGGTTAATCCTTTCACTCTTACACAGTTTTGAGTATTTCTTCCATCTCATACTCTTATTGGGCTTCAGGTGGGTTGAAAGGGAAGGGAGGCTTTAAAGCAAAATGATCAAAACTAGATTTTTATAATGTGTTGAACTTAATTTAATTGGTCTTCATACTTCCAAAATCTAATCCTGTTTGTGTTATGTAAAAGAACTTATGGGTGGTCTGCATGTGAAATTGACAATTTGTAGATATCCAGGAGAGATAAACATTCAAGCTGTTAGCCCAGTTTTTCTGCAGTAAAAATATACACTTCAAGTGCTGTAAGGAGGAGCAGAAATACTCTCAACACTGGAAACAATAAATTATACTTATTTCTCAGATTACGTTTCCATTCCCCACTTCCCAATAAAGTATACTGCTACACTTAGCAGGAAGGATTTTAAACAGATAAATTATGCAAGGAAATCTTTCTACCATGGACCCTTTCGGGTTTGGCATATTGAATTCTTAAAGGTGTATTGTCATTTATTTCTTTTTAAAAATAGTATTAAGCAGATTTAATTTATATGAAGTTAGAAAACCAAGCTGTGTAAACAGAGTTTTGAGGGAATCATGGAAGAAATTGAAGAACACTAGATTAAGTAGGAAATTATTCAGTGCTGCACTTATACTTGAAACTCATTTGGTTACTTACTGTGCAATCCTAAGAAGTTATACCATTCTGTGCCTTCTTAAGTAATGACTTTCTTATGACTTTGGTATCTTTTGCATTCACATGCAAATCAATGTTCTTTTAGCATAGCAAACTGAATATTGTACGAACAGGCGTAAGGGAAAGTCATGTTGCTCTTGTGAATGAATTTATCCACAGCTGTCCTACTGACATGCCTCACATAATTGCCAACCAGTCTTGTCACGTGGGATCACTGACCTCCTTTCTCTTGGCCTTTTGCTCCATCTCCAGTGTGTTTGTTAAATAGTATTAATACTGTAAAAGCTTAAATTTGGGTCTTTTTTGGATTATCATTGTGTAAGTTTTTTGGAATAGCATATTTCTTAACTAACTGAACTATCAAAGACTTGTCGGAAAATGTTAATGGTAGATCTAGCCTGATTTCAGTCTTTAATATACTGATGTATTATGGAGTTTGTGAATCTTACTTTGTATTTGTCACCAACTCTTTTTAGGATCGGCCCTGTACAGTTATGTCCTACTTGTTCTAAATTTTGTGTGGGTAAAAGGCATATTAGAATTTCTCTCCAAGTTCTGTAAAATGAACCCAGTTGAACTCAGTTTTATTGTTTTAACTTGTCAGCGTTTTCACTTTCACAAAATGACACTACGTAAATTTTGGGAGTCAGTGCTGGCTTAACTGTGTATTGAATGTATGTTGTTTTGGTTCTTGTTGCTTTTTGAGATTTTCTTGTTTCTTCTATATGGTGGTTTTGCTTTATACCAAATCCCATCTAGCTCCATATTGTTGGGTCTGATTGTCAGTGGCTCTCCCAAGTTCTTGAGGAAGACCGGGGAAATTTTTGGCATGGCAATTGAAAAAAAGACGAGAAAACAAGATTATAAGTAAAATAATTGATGGGGGAAAAGAAATTGTGGATAACATTGGCATTAAGAGAGCTTTTTTTAAGTATTATGCAAATCTTTTTAGTAAGAAGCTAATAGACAAGGCTAAAAGAAAGAAATATTTGGAAAAAGTGAATATGCAAAAGATATCAGAAAAGTTTAAAGTGATGTTAAACAACCCAATAACGAAAGAAGAGATTTATAAAGCAATCCAGGAGGCAAAGTTAGGGAAGGCTCCGGGACCAGATGGATTTACAGTAAAATTTTACAAGAAATTTAAAGAGGAGCTTGTCCCTATCTTTGAACTTCTGACAAATGATATAAGAGAGACAAAGAAAATACCAGACTCATGGAAGGAAGCTACAATTTCGCTTATCTCCAAGGAAGCACAAGATTTAACAAGTGTGAAAAATTACAGACCAATTTCTCTTCTGAACAATGATTATAAACTTTTTGCAAAAATTATTTTGGAAAGACTTAAGATTTATTTACAGGAGGTAATTGAAAAAGAACAAGCAGGTTTTTTGCCAAATAGACAGATAAAGGACAATTTCTTTTTCTGGGTGTTTATCATAGTATTCAATTGCGTCTATCACCACTCTCTGCCTGTCTTGAGGGGCTTTGTCACCTATCACTATTGCAGGAGCAAGGATAGGAGTACTTTTCTGGCATACTCTCCTCTTCACTCCAAGGTTGTCTCTGGGAGGAGATGAACACTGCAGGTCCTTCATGCTTTGGCAGTGGAGGAATGTTAACAGCTATAGCTGAGGCACTCATACCTCAGAACCAGATAGAGCTGAGGTGTCAAACTCACTTGTTATGAGGGCTGGATCTGACATAAGTGTCACTTTGTTGGACCAGGCCATGTGTGCCATAAAATGTAACACGAGGTACTATAGATATAAACTTTTATAAAGATGATTTCAGATGCCAAATGGCAATAGCAGGCATGATTGAATTAGGTGTGATGTGCAGAGGGGTAATAGGTGTGGAGATATCAGCATTGGTAATGAGACAGGAAACCTAGGTCTCAATTTGGTACAGAAGGATTCAGTCCAGGAAGATGCAAAAATAAATAGAAATAAATCTGAAGAAGTGAGCAGTGACTCACGAAAACACATACCCTGCCACAAATTTTGTCTTTAAGGTGCTACTGGCCTCTTACTCTTTCTATTGCTATTAGAAACCCAGAACATTCAAAACCGATGGGGGGACATTTTAACTTACCAGGACATTCAGTTGCTGACCTAAGAGAGCAGTTCTCTTACAAA